GTGGCATATCAATACATCTCAACAATCGAACCATACAATCATCTATTTATGCTATCCTTGATCAACATATATAGAACAATTACCACCAATCAACATATAACATGCAATAGATTCACCTAACTTATTTATGTTCACCATTTAATTCATCAAACAACAATATATCATCAAGCAACTCGTGCTCAACACCACAAATCCAAAGCCTGACGCCATCAAGACAGGAGCTTTTTGCCTTGCCCACTCCTAGCGTCCCACAACCCATGCTTGACGTGGATTAAGTGGTACCCCCTTGGCCCTTGCGCCTAGTGTGGCAAGGTTCCATGCCCAATGTCAATCTAAGTATAGTCAATTCTTTTCGTCTCACACTCGATGTCATTCAAACAATACCTGACGTGACCAAGTCAAAAACTATTCTCTCACCTCACAATTAACGTCACCAATCATGCATCCAACATGAGCAAGACAGAGGCCCTTGATTTAAGCCACGAAGGTACACCTAGTGCAATGATGAGTTATGCACTTGCATACTCACGAATTTAGCTCAAACTACTTGAAAGACAAAAAGATTCCAAGCATGTTAAACAAGATAACACCTATATATATTATCCATAACTCAATTCGCACCAAAATGGCTACATGCAATAACAACTCAAATAAATCACCAAGATTCAGCTCCATGAACTCAAACCACCCAAGTTCAACAAACAACAATCTACACCTCCGAATCATTCATACAATCATGCATTAAACAAATTCAAGGCACATACAACTCATCAATCCGTTAAAGATCCAGGTTCTAGCTTTCTTTATATCAATTCAGAGAGAATGCGAAAATAGGAGAAGAAGAAGAAAAAACAACTTCAAGTTAACCTCGAAAGCTTTGCACCAACTTAAATTCTCAACTTCTCAGCTTAAATCTCAACTTCTACTATGCCAGCTAGCCAATAGGGGAATAAAAGGAATCTTCCAGTGAAATTGGATTGACTTCGATGGCCTCAAAACACTTGTCTGTAACTTCTCTCTAAAATTCTAGAATGATAAACTTATAAAATTTACTTATCAAAATCTACCTTATATACTTCAGCCTCCCTAAATCAATTCTTACACATTTAAACTACAATAATAAAATAGCACGAAATAAAATATTTAATTACATATATTTTAAATATACATAATTAAAAAATATGGTATTACATATATATATATATATATATATATATATAAAACTTTTTTTTATATACCTTAAACCCTGACCCTAAAGTTTATATGCCTTTTTTTTTCTTTCAAAAAGGATGAGTAATTTTATATTTTTCATTTCATCCGATAACAATGTAAATTTGATCAAAACTTTGACTTTTTTTAAAATCTTGCAGCATCATTCTTTCGATTAACATGAGTTAGCTAAGGGTCAATTCCAATAGGCAAAGACCAGAGTGCAGTTTGATTCGGTTGAAAGGATCACGAATACACATTTCGAGAAGAACTGTAGATAAGTCATAATCTAAGCATCTAAAACTTTGAACAAGATATATACAACGATTTTCTGCAGTAGTTAATACCCCAATTAAATTTTGTTTATTCTTCTGATCATTTCTGACAATGAGACTAATAATGTATTAGTTTTGGAACATGATTTATTGTATTTTATTTCATCTAAAACTTTGAACAAGATATATACAACGATTTTCTGTAGTAGTTAATACCCCAATTAAATTTTGTTTATTCTACAGATCATTTCTGACAATGTGACTAATAATTTATTAGTTTTGGAACATGATTTATTGTATTTTATTTTCCCGAACGCTTCCATTGAAATTTGGCAGCCGATTGTAGAAAAGATTTTGCTGGGGAAGGTTTATTATGTGGGCACTATATCTGCCAATAAATATTTATGTAATTTCTTTGATTTATTACTAGAAGCTTAACTTAAAAGGTTTGACAAACAAGTTGAGTTGATAAAAACCATGCCTTTTGAGTTTTGAATATTTGTGCTTGGAGACCAATTATCAATTGCCCTTCTCCATCTCTCTGTCAACTTGAATATAAAGGATTACTACGAACACATCCATGTATTATTCTAATTTAATTAATAGTTATAATTGTAAATCATCGAATATACATGCAAGTGTTTTAAATATTTGGATAAAAAACTTTATCGATTATAATGATTATATTTCACTCGAACATAATTATTTATCGCAAGTAATACACATGATTTACAAATAGAAATAAAAAGAAACTTAAGTATTAAGTATTCATGTTTTGAATAATTTTGTCCAATTCTCTTGATAATCTTAACTTCCTTATTTGAGTTAATCACTTATATGTGTAAAATTTATTTACATTGACAATCAATTATATTTTTTAATTATATTTACATTTATATTTTTTAATTATATTATGTCACTAACTAGATAAATCAATGTTAAATTTTTTTTAATAGAAAGCATTCAAATTGGAATTGGGAAGTGTGAAAGTGAAAAAGACCTGACTTTATTCTGAAACTTCTTGGTTGGAACCGAGTTGTCCTGTGGGGTTCAACAAATAAACAAGTATGGTCCCATATTTCATATCTGGTATACCTTGCAATTTCATTGCTAGCTTCTTGTCTTTTTTTAATTGGAACTTTTTAAGGCTGTTTTGTATTTATGTAACTCTTTGCCTCTTAAGCACACAAAGTAGGAGGGGCTACGAGAGAACAATGGTTATCTCTTATTAGATCATTTTGGATATATATTTAATGACAAAAAATATTAATTAGAATAATATAATGGAAAGGGGAAAAAAAACAAGATAAAGAACCTTTTCCCCCCTCAGTGTAAACACTGTCCATATTCTCCCTCCACCACACCACAAAGAGAAATGAAATAAAAAATATATAATAATTCGTTTCAACTCCCTATCCGACGTTACATTATGTATCCCCAACCAACATAATTAATCACCAATTAAATTAAGTAAAAGAGCTTTTAGAGAACCGTATTTATTGAAATATATAATTGACATTTGTGGCCATGATATTGTCTCGTGCCAGATATCCAAATACGTAGAGCTGGTTCTTGTAAAGCATAAGTTGGTATGTTAGTCATTTATCGTTTAACTTTTCCTTTTATAATTTTAATAATGATATATTCTTATCTCATGGCTGGGTTGTCCTCATTTTATAAATAATATTCCAGGCTGTATGAACCTTGGGTCTTTTGTTTATCAAACCAAACAATTTTGAGCTCTTCAAGGAGCCATGTCAAGCATTTTGAATGTGTATCTTTGCCCTATGCATAGAACATTTCATTTTTGTGCTTGAAAATAATTCATTTAAAACAAAATGATTCACAAGTTCTTAAAAGAAAAAATATCAAGGATTGGATCTAAAGAAAAGGGCTACTCTCCCACACAGGGATGAATTATAGTTCAACTTTTTTATTGAAGAAATGATATCATTCGATGTTCAATCTTAAATTGAGCAAAATTAAAAGAAATACTCAAAAGAATGTACAATTCTTAAATAATAAAATATTAAACACAAAATATTTTGAGAAAAGATTTAATTATAAAATTAAACGAATTTTAAATTACTTCTTTCGTTTTTTATTCATAGTCGTTTTCGCATTATTTTTTTTCTTTTTTATTGTTATTTTTCTAAAATCAATGATTTAACTGAATAATGTGTCTATTTATTTTTTAATATACTTATTTCTTCCCCAACCACTTAAATAGTATAACAGGAAAATAAATAATAAATACTTTGAAAAACTAAAATATCAATCATTTTCTTAATTCTTGTACATAACTTAAAAAAAAAAAAAACGGAAGGAGAAATTCATAGTTGTTAAAATTCATTCATCTTTAAAACTTTTGGGTATCCCAAGGTGAAGGCCTTGAGGCTTTAAAGCCATATTCTAGATAAAATAGCCCAGCTTGAAAATAATGAGGTCCAAGTTGAATTTGTAATGTTATATTTTTTACAAAAAAATCCCATAAAAAATCAAGTGAAATCTAATTAAAAGAATACAAAAATTGTTCATTGAAAAAACTCTTAAGGTAACTAATCATAGTCCAACCTTTTCCTTTTAATTGAATTCATTTTGCAAATTTGGAATTTTACAAACATCTAAAAGAACTACCCAAGCAATTAAGCAAAGCAAGACAAGGAATTGACGTAGACTTCCAAGATTTGGATTCCATATCTATTTTATCAAAACTAACTATTACTTGTCAATCGAATTGAAACTATAAACAATCGGGAAATTATCAGCACAAATAAACAAGTGAAACAACTGTTTTGATTACAAATGAACATGCCTTGAAATAGATTCTGTAAAAGCACAATAAAGATACACCTAATATTTTAACAAGTTTTACACGTAACACAATTTCATCAGTAATATCCATCTTATTACACGTTCCATCTACATTAGAATCAATCATGTGTTTCAAATTCTATTCTTAGTCATGACACCCACAACGTGACAAGACAAAATAGAATCTACAAGGAAACTATAACACGGTACAGAGCAAGAATGTTCCCTGACCCAATTGTTCCCTGTCGTGGACACACACACACACAACATTTATGTATCAAACACTAGATTATGGAATCAGTTGTACCATTCAGATTCAGATCATCAAAAACAGTACAAGCTTTTTGTTATACACATGAAGCTTGGGGTTAAACCAACGACTGAGATGAATGAGTGAGACATGCTCTGAGCCAATGGGTATCAGTTGTTGGTCCGGATTTTTAAGCTGTGTTTGTTTGATTTTGTCATAAACTCGTAATGATCATCGCTTTCTATTTTGATTTTGCGTGATATACGGTTTGCTGAAAAGCTATGTAAATATTATTTTTCACAATGCAATTCCACAGTTCTAACACCAATTTCATGCAAGCTTATCCAAATCAGATAAATATATATAATATATCACGCTCGCAGGTCAGCATACAGATCCTGGACCTACAATCCAACAAATACAGGTACATATTTTTCTTTCTAAAGAAAAAATAAATAAATAAAAGAATGACCAACTCTTATTTCATGAAAGCAACATAATATGAAAAATTCAATATATACAAAAGAACTCAACTCAATGAGTCAAGCACATACTAAGCAAAAAGGAAGAGAAGAACAAAAACAGAACAATATTTACCATTGGAGTATTTTCAAGTTAATTATCCCCACCCCTATGAAAATAAAAAAGGAAGCAGAGATTGAATTTATTTTTTAAACATCCTTGTACAGTATCTGGTATTTTGGTACACGTTCAGGCGGGAGAGGACATTTCACAATAAGCTTTCCCTTCATTGCTCCTCTAAATATTGTCTGCAGAAATTTCATGAATACTGATAATAAATACCTTGGAAGTAGACAATTCAATTAGAATACTGGGGAATTTTACAAATAATTAGTAAAACAAAAAAAAACATTTAAAATACTGAAATTTAAATATTGCCAAAGAAAGATGTTCTCAATATATCAAGGGACGGATCTAGTTATTGTGTTTTAAAAAAGAAAAACTAAAATTTTAAATATTTATGTGAAATGATGACAGAGCAAAATTCCCTTAGTTTATCTATTGAGTGAACCACTTTCTCCTTTTCTACTAGTCTAGTGGGTTTACTTAGATTAAAACTTTAGGATTTTTTCTGTATTAACTTTTATTATTCATTTTCATTAGAAATTAGAAATGAAACACAAGGATGGCTCTGCTCCGTAGCAAGGACTCCTATATATTGAAGGATTTAGAATGAAAAGGAACAGAAAATTGATCTATAACAGCAGTTATAACAAAATATCTTCCCGGAGTTCCCCTTGCAGTTATTACGATACAACACTAAAATAAGGTAAAGTTATGTAAAAGCTAACCTAACACCAAATAAATAAACTCCAGATATTCAATTATTCATCCCATCCCCTATCCAATTATCAAGGCAAATGAGAAAAGAAAAGGAAAGAACAAAAAAAAAATCAAATACTTGAATATTGAAATCAGTTTGCAAATTGTGAAGCCAGTAAAAATAAATACAATTAATAAAAAGGGAAAACATCCTAGCAAATAGCAGTGCTCCCACAAGCCAGTAAGTCATTTTTAAGCATTCTTGATTTTATCCACCAACCAAAAGGGTCTGCTGTGTCCTCTTGACAAAATTAAAACTAGCAATCAAACAAAGATTTTTCTGATTGAATATTTCAAAAGGCCTCTTGATTATACTATGATGTTTAGATAAAAAAAAGATTTATGAAACAAAAATCAGAGAAAAAAGAAGCAAATGCTGACAAAAAAGTAGGGAAAAGTTAGTAAGTTCACTTTATATCTTCTTATTGCTAATTTTAGTATCTACAAGACTAAAAGCATAGCTTTATGCTTTTACTTCACAGTCTTAGTTACTGCTTTAAGAATAAATTTAGTGCTAAATAATAAATAATTAGCAGTTAAAAGTAATTTATGATCATACCAATTGGATCAAAGATCTACATGAATAATATTATTAGTCAAACAAACCAAAATAGATACCTCTACAACATCTATGAAGTCTTGCTTTGTGTAAAAAGAACCAACCCATTTAGTATGATCAGCAGTCCTACATACAGTAGCAAAAATGTCAAAGACTTGCTCTGTAAATTTATTCATACAAGTCAGAAAAGAATACAAGATAGACACAGCTCAAAAATTGGGTGGGGGTATCTTTTCTGTAAAACAGTGCTGACAAGATTACAACATGATAGGTTCCAACTGATATGATAGAAAGATTGAAATTATTGAAAAGAATTTAAGCACGAGCCTTTCTGTATTATTGAGTAATCCTCCTAATCAAAACAACCAAAGTAAATACAATGAGGTATTCGAGAGACCTCTCCTCTCCTACAACTTTTGTTATAACTTTACTCTTTCCATTCCCTATTTAAAGACTATTCAGTTACAATTGAATTTCTCCCTCTATGCCTTACATACACCCTCTTAATCATTGGTCTCCTATCACAACACTTTACCAATACAATTCTTTTTCAAATTTTACAAAATAAGAGATTAGAAAATAAAAAGGCAATATTATGTTTTTACACCAATAAAACTCTCCTATCAGCATGCTGTGTGGCATGACAAATTGTATGGCGCAACAGTGTGGAACTAGCTCTCCCCTGCCAGTAAATTTTTTTTTTCCTTACGTGTGCATGTTTTCGATATTGTGGGTTTCTATGAATAGAGCACACTAGCTAATCCATGTCTTGCAAAAACTCACTATCCATTACTCTCTCAAAGAACAACAACAACAACAATAGAATGAAAATCTCATCACTTTTGGAAATTATCATTTTTTCCTGTATCCAGCAACACTTTTAATCTAACACAAAATCTACCACTTAAACAAACACACTGAAATGAAACAATCACACATGAAGCTGCAATAGTATGCGATAAATTGAAGCTAAAAAACAAAGCAGAGACCATACCCATAATCCATTTTCATGTGATGGGCATTGAAAAAAAACACTGTAGATGGTATCAAAGTGATGTCAAAATACTTGATATAGACTTGAATCTCCTCGGAGTCAACATCAACCAATGCCACAGTTGCAAACTTAGAGACCTCCCTTGCTGCTTTCGAAAGCTGTATCAACAAGCCACGAGAAATGAAAAGAAATAATCGTTATTGCGGGGAAGTGTGAAAAAAATAAATAAATTTGAAATGAATGAGAAACAGATGATGAATGAAAATCATACAATGTGATCTAGCTGGAGACAAAGTGTTTCAGTAGCACGACCAAAGCGGAGAACCAGGACCTCATCGAGGGTGTCTCTGATGATGGTATCCACCTCTATCTTCTTCGTCAATGTTGGTAACACGTGGCTCATCTTCCTACATCAAATTCTTTGGACATTTGATCAAATATTGAAACACACTATTAGGTTTTCCAAAGTGTCACCGAAATTTTCAATGATGAAGAAAAAAGATTGATAGAGACAGGTTTTAGTAGTGTAAGGTTTTCCAAAACTTACTGTATGTGAATTGTAAAGATACCTTGAATCGAAACATGGTATCCTCAAATATGATATAAGCAAGTTTAATTAACAGAAAAACAGAACTTAAAACTAATGCATATGAAATCATAGTGATAGCTAAACATAGGAGGACGAATTTCATTGATTCGATTCCTAAACATAGAACGCGAATTTCATACATTGAATACCTAAACATAGAAGGAGGAGAAAGAGAGAACCTGACTTGAGAAGTGATTTCCCTCTGCCCACACAAAATAAACGCAGAGTTTTCACTTTGTTTTTCTCTCAGCTTCTCCTCTCTCCAAATTTTTATTTCATCGCCATTTGATTTTTTCTTAATGTGCATAGTGCCACCAAGAAGGTTTTCCATGTTAGTTACATTACATGTAAATACTGCTTTCATTTTTTTTCACCGAAATTTTCCTAAAATATGTTATTATATTATTATTCTTTTAATTAAAAGAAATATTGATATATAATTATAACAATTAAGTAATTACAAATATATATATATATATATATATATTCAAAATATACTAAAATTTAAATAATTTAATTATTTTTAAATTATTGTTCAATTTTAACAAAATTTGACAAAAACATACAATGTGATATAAAGTTATAATTCAATTGTTAAATTGACAAAATTCACATTTAATATAAAATTATTGAACGATATAAAATAATAAAAAGTTACATCAATGTCATTTGAATCTTCTTATATATTTTTGAGAGTGAGAGAAAGAGGAGGGATTCACTTATGCTAAAAATAAGTCTATTTAAACTTAATTTACTCAACAACTCATACTTTATATCAAATTTTAACGATCTAATCATTGAAATAAGAATTCTTAATTCATATATCAAGTCTACAAAGTTATTAAAATATTGAAAACTGTTTTGATAT